AATTTTACCAAATCCTGTTTAAGTTTTGCTAACATCCTAACCACAAAATTTTAAAACCATGTTACCTAAAGATTTTTTTATTTCTTAGTTCTCTTTGTGGTATAACAATTGATATTCTTAAAATATATGATGTAATGTACCTAAGATTACATATTGGAAAATATAACATTCTTGTAATACACGATTTCAATGATTTTGGCATGATGTAAACAGATATAAATATTGCACATGACATAAATAATTATTGATATAGTAGTGACACACAAAATTAATGTTTGTACATTAAATCCACAATACGAGATTTTCAGTTCGCAAACACTTTCAACTAACAAAAACCCAATAAAATGGGGTTTTCGGTAGATATGTTTTCGTTTAGTTGCAAGGGTTTTGTCGGTTTTGGGTTTTAACAGCGATTAAAGCGAAACCACCAAATCGATTATTTATTGGCTGTTTACGACGATGACCGATTGAATATTTTTGTTTTCGGTAGATATGTTTTCGTTTAGTTGCAAGGGTTTTGTCGGTTTTGGGTTTTAACAGCAATTAAAGCGAAACCACCAAATCGATTATTTATTGGCTGTTTACGCCGATGACCGATTGAATATTAAAAAAAACACGTGGTACAATCTACCTGTGTAGGTAAGTCTTATATAGGTAGGTACTTTTATGAGGAAAATGCTGCAATCACCACAAAGTGATAATTAATAATTTTATAAGACAAAATTAAGTGTTTTATGTTGATATGGATAACTTAGGTATTGAGAATGCGCGTTTTTTTTAATTCTTATGTCGATGACAATCAGGATCAATGTTTTTACAAGCTTTTATTTAACTTGCTATGTATGTTTGTTACGGTCAAATCTTACAACTCAATTTTAAAGCACTTGCCCTCAACCGATTAGGCTGAAATTTGGTATGCTCGTTCAGTTCGGATGACAATGCATGATTAACAGTGTGACGTCATTTTAAATCCAATATGGCGGCATACCCAAAATGGCGGACCAATCATTTTTAATGCATTCCTACAATATGGGTATTAAATTAAAGGGCTTGCTGAGAGTAACTCGAAAAAAATGTGACGTCACTCTCAATCCAATATGGCGGACTTCTAAAATTTGAAAATCTATTTAGAAACAGATATCTTTAACTAATTTAGTTGAAATTTTCTTTTTTTCTTTTTAGCGCATTTGAATAAAAGCTTGTTTTTAAAAAGGTATTTTTTACCTTAATTTTATTATGTTAAGAGGTTGGATGACAATCAGGATATATAATAGAAAGTTTATTTTTATGTTAAAAAGTTGGTAAACAAGCGTATCGCCCGCCTGATGTTAAGCAGACATCATAGCCTAGAGACACATATCTCTCGTTGCATACCCTGACCAAATCTCCTACCCTATGGAGCCCTGGAATCTAATCGACAGAAACACCACACCACCAAAAGGTAGTGTTATTTTATTGTGGAGGAGCTCGATGGCGCAAGTGGTTAGCGCGTTCGGCTGCGATAATAATATTAAACAGTTAAGTATCTACTTTCTCAGTAATCTAAATATTTTATTTTTCAAAATTGGTATTTTATCATGAAAAATATCAATAGTATGATCCTTCTTCACAAGCTCTCCAATTAATCTACTTAACCAAGGGATTATCTTAAACTTGTAAGTTCATTACAAAAATATTTACTTCTATAGCGTGCGCTTCTCTTAATTTACGGGCAACTAATGCCCTCGGCGTACATTTTTGAAGTTATACTTCTTTAGGCGCGTTATGAAAAAATGATGAGAGTGAAATTTTAAGATGCGCGCGCATCACTGTAACACAAAAATTAACAGCATGAAGTTGGACCAACTTCATGCTGTTACTTTTGTGTTTACCGCACATTAAGAAAATCTACCAACAAAACAGAAATAGAATCTCTATTTAGTGGGTGCTAACGACTGCATTGTGAATAGTTTTGATAGGCCAAAAGTATTTATTAATCTGGAACAACGGAACCAAAGCGCGATTCAGGAGACTACAGCGCCATCTCTTGACCATTGGTGTAGTAGAACCAAAAACCACATCTTTATTTTTTGTAATAAAGTAACAGTTATAGGTATTCATATTAATTAAAACAGAACTTTATTGACTGTGTCCTTTTCCAGACTTTTTATTAATATTGTAATTAATTATTTGCATGCAATTAAAAACTAATTTTAAACGATGCCAAAGAAGGATAACTTCTCACGCGCCTACATAAGTACACGCACTCATTTTTATTTTTCAAGATTTTCTTTTGTTTCCGAAGTCCCTCGTCTGCGCAGGCCACGAGCATTCATACGGCGAACTTCAGCCGATATTCGTTAATAGTTTTGTAGAAAACTTCACTTTATTTTTAGACAAACGTTTTTTAAGGGATACGTCCAATGTATCGGTGAGTACCTACTGAAATTATAATGATATCGAAGTCACGCGTAAAGAGGGTTGGAGGATCACTCGCGCGTTGTCAACCCTGACCCCATTCTCACCCTTTGGAGGTCTGGAAACCTCATTATTGTGCTAATACAATACTACGGAAACTTCACTTCAATAAGAATAGCGATGGCCTTTGTAAGGATATCATGCTTAAGTATAATAGTGAACTGCAGACAGTGCAAGTCATCTTATAACTTCACACATGTTTGTGTTTCTACGTGATTTGTTTTGGTAATATTGTTGTGATTGAAGATATATTTTTTACAAGCTTCAATTTTTTTTTTCAATAAAATGGGAGGCAAACCAGTGTTATTATCGTCCACTTTAAGTAGATGCTAGCGATGCCAGAGAAGCGAGTGGATAGCTCGCGTGTTCTCATAGAGCACTGAAATTTTATCTGAGTATTTACCACCAAAAGATATTTCACTGTGTTCTTCTGTATATAAGAGAAGGTTATTATACCAGAATAGCTTTCCAATTCGAGCAAAAATCCATTACTTATATACTTATTTTGTATGTAAGTTCAGTAAGTAACAAGCTTAGCTAAAATGAGCCAGAAAAACTTGCCAACGCGAACGCCAAGTCCAATTTTCTGTGCTTTTTACTACGTAGGTACTATTGACAATAATAAAATGAAACGAACCGTAAAGAGTCCCAGCCTTTCTGAACATTATCCTGGATCCACTACTAATTTACCAACCGTAAAGTAACATTTACAGAGCATTAAATCTGTTTTAATTTTACTGCGCGTCTAAAAATATCCGTTGTGTTTTGTTAATTTTTTTTCTACATTTCCATTTGCTCTCCTTTAAATAATAAAGTCCCGGACATGTTGTCATTACAATCTTCCCAATTTTGCGTTCTCTCTTACCATTGATTCGCTACCACGTCCAATGAATATTAAGAAAAAATATTGTCATAGTTTTAAGAATAATAACTTGATAAAAAATATTTACTATTTTTTTCAATAAGCCGATAAAAGGAATATAACTAATAGTTTTAATAAATGAATTTTAAATTATTTTAACATAGCACTCATCATTAGTCGTCACAAAAGAAATATAAATTAATATTTCCGATGAAAAATATGTTTCCACCAATCAATTCTCCATAGTTTAATTTTATAAACTTTCGAATCCATTCAGACAACTTGTTTCGTTCATATTGAGCATGTTACATTACAGTTTTGATTGTTATTATAATTTTCAGGCTTTATTAACAAACCGCAATGCATGTTAATAAAGTCTGAAAACTTTTCAGTTGCTATCGGGCGAGTCCCTCGGTTGCGGATAACCATTTTCCCGGAGGGGGCCAGGGCCAGTAGGAAGTGTTTCAGGGCCAAGGGAGGGTTAGACCCTCACGAGGACGACGAGGTAAGTTGCCGGACAGATTGACCATTAGACGTTGTGATCTTGCCTTTCAATCGAGGATGCTGGCGCCCTTGTTCCTCGAGGTGTGGCAGACCGGGCTCGACTACGGTAACTTGCACCAGGTTTGCGGAGCGGAAAGAGCAGGGCGAGTAAGCCCATGTCAGATAAGTAATGGAGATCTGTCCCACGATGCCGGTCCACGCTTCGGAGGAGTCAGGCGGGAATAGACACGGAAAAACCCTTTTCAAGGTCAGGGAGGTAGTGCAACCCCCTGGGGGTTTTAATCACCGGCTGGGTGACGCTAAACGGCCCTTTCTAGGACCAAGGGGAGCGGGCGAGGGACGGAGAGAACTACCCTCCCACTCTTGCGAGAGAAGCGTGGCTGGCCTAGGGGGGGGGGGGGAGGAATAGCCCCGCATTGCACAAGCTCTGTGGATGCTGATGCCCCTGATGTTCCGGGGCATCTTTATGCGGGTGCTAGCTGCTAGGGTGCTCCAACATCACCCGCACTCCCGGCGTGCATAAGGGGGACCGCGGTCCTCAGAATGCGTGCCGGGTGAACGGTGCAGGAGTATTGTCTGGTTTTTACTGTTCCTGTTCAGGACATTAGGTAGGGCCCTGCTCATTTTATCGAGCTGCAGGGCTGGCTGGAATGAGCAGGAAGGTGTCCCAGATACCTTCTTCTCGCTCTCCTAGTGGTTAAAGGATGCAAAAGGCAGTTCCCTGACACACCAAAAAAAGGTTCAGTGGTAGAAAGCTCGCCTGCTACGCGGGCGGCCCGGGTTCGAATCCCAGCCGAGTAAGGACTTTTTCATTGATGATTTTTAAAGTTTCACTTGCTTGAAAACACGATGTTTTCATAAAACCATACCAATCAATTTTTGTAAGCTTATTGTTTTATTTAAAACTTAATTATTACAATTTACCACCTTTAAATTTTAATAAATTTGCCATTGTGAAAAATAAAGAATAGTTTTGTAATAATACGTTAAAAATCAGTTAAAAAAGTTTTGATTAAATACTGGAATTTTTAAAAAATACATATATGCAATTAATGTCAAATAAATTGTGATTTTAGCAAAGAAAGGATCATGACAAATTGCTTTTAAAAATATTATTCAAATTGATCACATACCTAAAAAAAGTAAAACAGATGGTTAAATAAAAAAAAGTACTCACCCAAAGATTGCAGTAACAAAAAAGTAACACAATTATTTTCAACAAGCAACACCACGAAACCGCCAAAAATTTACGCGCGCGTTTCTCTAAACCTTCGACTTCAACAGAAAAAATAAATATTTGAACTTCGAACTTTTTCAAAAGATTTGTGTTACAACCTCTAATTTGAGATAACCAAAGGTTGCATCATAGGCGCGTGCGCCGCTCTGGTCACCTAGACGGCTACTAAACTAGCATCCGCTCGTCACCAGCCTTGAAAGCTTTTCAGTCCCGCCCGCCTTGCATTCTTCGCCATTAATTAGATCAACTTTGCCGTTCGTGTCTGTCAGTCCTTCGTTTTTGTATATCCATAAAAACCCTTTAGTTCGTGCGATGATCGATGTCATTTTTTTATAACAAAAGAAGCTTTTGTTTAGATAATCGAGTGAATGATAGTTCTGTTAATAAGTAAGAAAGTCGCAGTTTAAAAAGACAATTTCTAAATTGATTTATGTGAAACAGTGTATTTTAATATTCTCGAAAAATTTTACAGACTTAAAATAAAAACAAAACATTATTGTAGAATATACCGTTTTTTTCCTTGGTAACTTTATACACCTTTATAGACACAGAGTATAAAAAAGCCTTAATTTCTTTTTCTTTCACTATTTTATCGCTTGTATATTTTTTGGTTTCTTTTATAAGTTTAAGTGAGCGGGCATTACTTAATCTTAAGTTATAACAGGGATGATGACTATTTTTCTTTCTTTATTATATCAGGTAGATTATCAGAAAGTATTGTTTTTTCTTTTTTGACATAATATAAACATTGCAGAGATATATTGATTTGAAAAGTCGCATTACGTCACGTTTTGGTACAATTTTCACTTAAAAGTGACGGCACGAGCCCCTACTCGCAAACTTTGACGCGCTACTATAACTTTGGCATTTTTTGGTTGATTGCCCAAAGAAAAAATACGTGTCCATTATTTTTTGATCATCTAACTGACGGACTAAATAGAATCTCGTTTACAGTACCCCGTCATCACCCCTATTATCCCACTAGCAAAATAGATCACGTAGTCGGATATTAAGTTTATTTGATGTGAATTTACTTTTTCACGAACTTTGTGATAGCGTTTACGTTATAAGATTTTTCTCATTGAACAATCTTTTTTGTGCTTAACTTTTTCATGAATTTAATCTAAAACGTTAAGTTTAATATCGGAATGTCGGCGAGTTGCATGTCTTGAACAAAAAGTTTTCCTGTAAGTAAAGCGCAAAACAAGACCTTTTTTATAGGATGTGAAATATTTCGAATAAGTAGATAGTTTTGATTCGTTCGTATGCTTCCGATAAAGTTTAAGGTGTTTACCAGAGACGAATATATCACGTATTTAAGGAAGCTAGAGGTCGCCCGCGACTTCGTCTGCGTTAACTTAGTTTCTTGAAAATCCCTCTGGAACCTAACATTTTTCGGGATAAAAGTAGCCTATGTCTGAATCTAGGGTGTCAGCTAACTCCATACCAAATTTTATTGAAATTGCTCCAGCGGTTTAGACGTGAAGAAGTAACAAACATACACACTCACATACTCACAAACTTTCGCCTTTATAATATTAGTGTGATTATAACTATACTAGCTGTGTCGCGCGATGTTACCCGCGGTTTATTAGGGATGATTTCCCGAAGTAAAACGTAGCCTATGTGTTAATCCAGGGTGTAAGCTAACTTCATACCAAATTTTATTAAAATCGCTCCAGGCGTTTAGACGTGAAGAAGTAACAAACATACACACTCACAAACTTTCGTCTTTATAATATTATTATTGTGATTGTGATGTGATTGTGATTGTGATTTAAGAAAGGTTTTATAATTACTTTATTTCATAAAAGCTTACTCAGAACATTTCAGAGCACTTGAAGAATTGGACTGCCCGTCTGCGGGAGTGACCTCCACAGTGAAATGACAATACCTTTTGGCAGTGATGTGTCCGTAAGTGAGTTAGGTTCCAAGACAACACGGGGTAAGAGATGTTGTGGTCAGGGTAGCAACGGCAAAAGGTTGTTTAAGATCCTAAGACTCCGCTGTCCTTCTGTCTGTCTGCCTGTTACCAGGCTGTGATCGCTTGACAGTTGTCATTTTCAAAGATAAAATATTTTTGTTGCCGCCATAGCAACATATACTAAATCAGAATATAATAAATATTTATTGGTGGCTCTCATACAAGAAACGTGTTTTTTTTGCCGTTTTTAGGGCTCTCGGAGGGACGGACGGAGTGTAAGGAACCCTTACACTTTCTTGTCCGTCCCTCCGTCTGTCAAGAACCTTTTTCTCAGGAACGCGTGGAGGTATCAATCTGAAATTTATATCAAATACTCAGGTTTACTGTCCCTTAATTCTGTGAAAAAGTCAAACTTCTAAGCTGACGCAATCAAAAGATTACAACCGTTTGTGCCGCAAATTTTCGAAACTGGCAAGGGAATCAAAACCTGTCGGGGTGTCGCATTATGCTATACATAGCGACATCCCTTTCTAACTGTACTGAAGTAAAGATTGACAATTTGTTGTCATTCTGTAATACGAGCCTAAGACTCCAGAAGGGAGTCCAGTGTAACGCAACTCTAGTACCTAGTTTGGTCATAAATTCTGTCACATGTTTAATATAAAATAGTTGAAACAAGTTTATTCAGTATGTAACCATTTATATACCAAAATGAACATAACAAAACATAGATTCTTATGACAATAAAGTTTATTCAAAATAACCTCCGTGATTTTGAATACAGGCCTTCAATCTGCGCGACCAGTCGTCTATCGCAGCACGAACGAGGTTCATGTCAATATCGGCGGCTGCCTTAATCAAGGATGTCTTGAGTGACTCCAAATTGGGATGAGGCTTTCAGCACGCCTTTTCCTCCAAGTGTTGCCATATCTTGTAATCTAACGGACTCAAATCTGGACCAGACTGGAGGAGGGCCAGTCTTTGTGCAAGATGAAGTCGATTTCACGCGCCGCCAGCCAGTCTTGTGTGCTCTTCGCTCTATGAGCTGGTGCCGAATCTTGTTGGAATACCCAGTGCCTGTTATTGAACATGGTATGAGAAACAGGTTCCACAAGGTTCGTCAGCACTGTATTTTTGATACACAACTGCATTCGTTTTTACAGCTTTCTCACAAAAATGTACCTCTGTTAAGACCCAATAAGAAACTCCCAACCATACCATGAGCGAGGATGGAAAATGACCTCGTTGGACACGCGGAATACGGTTGCTCGCTTCTTCACTACAGTGTGCGTACACTTTATCATTTTGTTTGTTGTAGCTCTCTTCAATGGTAATAATTTTCTCACCCGAAAAAAGAATTTCCCGATATTTTTGTCCCGCGTACTGCTGAAGAGATGCCGCAACAAGGCGCGGCATCTCTTCAGTCTCAGGTCCATTAGACGAGCATTCAAACGATATCCTGTTTTTCTTCATTTAACACCCTTTTCACCGTGGTTCTGCTACACCCCATCTGAAGGGCCAACAGTTTCTGCTTACGTTTGGGATTTCTTTGAATTCGCGCCTTCACAGCTTTTATCACTGCTGGAGTCCTAACAGACCGAGGGCGACCACTTCTTGACCTGTCATCTACACTAGAGTCTTCATTGTATCGTTTGATGGTACGATAAACGAATCTTTTGGTTATATTCAAATTTTTCAGTATGACAAAAATTTGTATTGGCGCGTAACCGCAACGATGCAACGCAATAACTGCAATACGGTCTTCTTTAAGCGTCCACTCCATATTTCAAAATGAGTAAAATTCTAAAAAGTATACCTTTTTATTTTCATGAACAATTCGAAATTCGAATTCAATAAACTTTTTTGTGGCCAGCATTCTAAAAGAAAAGTTTTTACTGTGTGACAATACTTATGACCTCACTGTGTATTTTATTCAACGAAAACCACTTTGTATTACATTTTATATTGTATTTCAAAAAATTATAACAGTATCTTCTTCTTATATACGAAATTCTCGTGTCACAATGTTACTTACCATACTCCTCCGAAATGGCCTGACCGATTTTTATGAAATTTTATATGCATATTCAGTAGGTCTGAGAGTCGGCTAATCTATTTTTCATACCCCTAAATGATAAGGGTTGTACCATCCCTAACATTATTTTTTATTTTTTGGACATTTATTTTTTATGTTTTAATAATGTGTTCTTAAAAATAGATATTCACTTTTCTATCACCCACATTTCTATGGCGATACGAAGTTCGCTGGATTATCTAGTTATCACTATGTTTTTAAGTCTACACCCGTTTTCATACTCCCATCCATCGAATCGAGACAAGAGGCAATCAAATTCTATATTTGAAATATATCTTATAGTTTTAAATATGAATGCCCGCCGTAGGCATCTGACAAGCAAAGAGGCTGGAACGCTAATGCGGACGTTACAGGAGCTCTACTCTCTTTCTCCGAAACGAAATTTCGGTAACGAACGAATTTCAAACGAAATTTCGCCAGTGTTTCTACTCTATTTCATTTTCGAACAGGCACATTAACTTCGGAACCATAAACAGTTTTCGTGAACGAATGGAATGAGTCATGTTTTTGAGTTCTTTTTATCTCTACTTTTAAAAAAACGTTTTTTACTTGGAAACAATAAAGGTAGTTTACGGCAAATTTTTTGATGACATTGAAAGAACCTTCTTTGACAGTGTTAGCTGACTAATTTGTAGAGTCGATACAATCTACTGTATGTCAACTTCAATTTGTCGTTTAATACTTTGAAGTATCGAAATTACAAAAAATAATAAAAAAATGGTTTATTTGTTAATTTTACATGCTAAAAATGTTTCTCGAGCTATGCAGCTATTATTAAAAATACTCTTGCAAGTATTTTAGGCTTAATTAAAACAAAAATCTCAAAACGAAAATGAAAAGGTAACACTTTTCATTTCGTCGATTTGAGGTTAAAATTTCGAACAATTATCTGTCAAATTCAACTTTTCCTTCGAAAGTTTTGTGAATTAGAGTAGGGTTGGAGAATTTAATTGTCAAAATATTTCGGACGAACGAATTTTCGAAATGAAAAGGAAACAGAGTAGGGAACGTGCGAAATTTCGATCGAAATTTCGTTTTCCGTTGAAATAGAGTAGGCCTCCAGTACCATTACGCGTATAGTCCAGTCATTATAGTAAGTTCACCTGGGAATTCGAGATACCCAGCTGTAAGTCTGTAAATACTTGTATATTGACACCCTAAAAGTTG